AAGAAAGAAAGAAAGAAAGAAAAAACTGAACGATAATAATAGGGGCCTCGCCCTTTGGGCTTGGGCCCCTAAAAAACCGGACAATAAGAATAGGGGCCTCGCCCTTCGGGCTTGGGCCCCTAAAAAACCGGACAATAAGAATAGGGGCCTCGCCCTTCGGGCTTGGGCCCCTAAAGAAAGAAAGAAGAAAAAACCGGACAATAAGAATAGGGGCCTCGCCCTTTGGGCTTGGGCCCCTAACTATTCAGAGCCGGTACAATAATGTAAACAAATCTGCCTAAATAGAAAAGCAGCGCACTAAGTAAACGATGTTGAAATATTCAAAGCCAGTACAGAGTTGCGTAATTACAGTGCCATGAGATATCATAACAATTTCACTGGATCGACGCGCGGAGCACGATAGAAAAAGGTTGCTAAGGTAACGCGCCAGTTCAGCGCGTGACTTGGAGGTAAAACTTCGGCCAACACACACTTGATGTCAGCATCGCCTGAAGCAAGTTTCGCAAAGACGTACTTGAAGTTCATTTGCGCTCCAAAATGATGTCGCAGCATATTTTGTAATCCATGATACACCCCGTTTCGACTTTGGCTTGCTTTTCCTTCTTAGTGCATGTTCTTGTTCACGTAAAATGCGATCTCCCACCAATGTATTAAAACACTTTGAATTTATACTTTGCGTGATTATGGTCTACGCGAAACATTAATCTTTGTAAACATTTTCTTAGACTATGCATGATGTATATTCACATAATCATGCGATCATATTTTATATTATGTTGATTTCTATGTCTTTCTGGATCCTTTGTGCTTTCATTTCATTTTCGCGTATACTGATACTGCCCTTATAAAAAAAACTGGTCTAGTGCATATACCGTACTAGTATTGAAGTCATGAAATTGTTTACTTCCTTAGTCTTTGTGATGTTATAATGATTTCAGAGTGTCTACAATGTCAATAAAATGTTTAAAAGTCTTACTATGAAGACTATAACATTATATGACATTAATATATAACAATGATATTAATATTATATGCACAGACTATTTCATATACCACTCTAAAACCAAAAGGCGGTGTATATTATTACCCATGCCTGCCACAAATTAAGTGTGTTAACTAGTTACAAATATTTCATCAAATACAATGTAGTATCATTTATTTGTTTTATAACAGTCTTAATTAAACACAGTTACGATGACCATGGAGTATTTGATGTGTGGCTACCCTGTGGCTCCTGCAGGAGATAGTTTG